TATATATATATATATATATATATATATATATATATATATTTACTTTTTAAGTTTAATAATGATCCTTCTAATTTAGTAACCTCTTACAAGTGCAGAGTTCAACATACAATTTAATTTTATTTGCCTATTCAATATACATCATAGCCAAGTTTAATTACATTTAATAACATTTTGCTATATTTTTCTCAGCGCATTTGCTTAAATACGCTGAGAAAAATATAGCAAAATGTTATTAAATGTAATTAAACTTGATTCAACGTTATATTTTAACCTTTACTCGACGTCTTTGTGTCACGTTAAATCGACGTTTTACTGTCAACGTTAAAAATCATTAAAAAATCGACTGCTTTAACAACGTTACAGTAACGTTTTTCAAGTAACGTTGTTTCAACGTTAAACTGCGACCTCTATGCAAAAGCTTTTTAAGTAAGGCTTTTTCAACGTTTAGTTGCGACATTTTTGTAACGTCTTTTAGTAACGCTTCTTCAATGTTAAGCTACAATGTTTGTACAACGTTTTTTAGTAAAGTTTGTACAACGTCTTTTAGTAACGTTTCTACAACGTTAAGCTACAATGTTTAATCAACGTCTCTTTGACAACGTTACAAATCTTTGCAAAATCGATTACTTTGTCAACGTTTCCGCAACAATTTTTGCGACTGGTTTTCAACGTTGATTCAACGCTGACATGTTTGCTAGGAAGTAATGTTTCCGAAATCAAAAAAGAGATTATATTAAAATTTTTAATTTTTTTAAACGAATTTGAAAACACTGTAATATAATATGTAGGTTAACAACCAATACAATAAATACAGATTTAAGCTTCTGCGATGCCAAAATTTTAAAAAACCAAAACGATCTATTAATTTTCTCTACATTTTGTACTTTTGTTGAAATAAATACCATATATGGATATACAACAGAGACCTCGGCTTTAATATTATAATATAGCAGCAAGATTGAAAATGCCCGTGATGTGAAAAAAAATGTTTTAAAAGAACTTAAATTAGGTTAAAAGATAAATCAAAATTTAACAGGAGAACAAAGCAAAGCTCTTATAGAAATTAAAGAAAACAAAATTATCGATTTATATATCCGTTTGATAAGGATAATGATTTTGTAAGAATAGAACACGATAAAGCTTTGGAAAAAATTCACCAACATATTGGCCCAAAGAGAGTTTTAACTGAAGATACACATACAGTTATGCTATTACGGTATTAAGACTTATCTCTCACAACTTAATAAAAAACACCGATTTTCAAAAATTTACAGTTTACAGAAAATTTAAAATGTTTACAGAAATGAAGCCATTACTAATATCCAAATTAAACCTTATTCAAATCATGACCCTAAGATTCTAAACGCAATATTTAAACGTATATGCAGAAATGTATATTTACAAGATGAGAACAATTTTCTTTTTTAAATGTTTCAGAAAAATGGATACAAAATATGCCAACTTAAATGGATTGCAAACTTAATTGGAAATACATGGTCCATAAAAATCAGCACAATTCAATCAGACTCGTTTAACCTCCCTATTGTATCGTTACCGCGATTACCATCACTCCCGCCGAAATTAAGAAAATTATTTCGGAAACGCCTGAAAATAAGGAAGTTATATCGAAAACAAACACTTTTTCTATAAATTGATATGCAAAGCATTGGAAAAAGTTAACGCAGGACAAAGTTGATCTGCTTATAGTAAAATTTTTAAAAAGCTGCTTTGCTGCAGCAGAAGCCCATTGTTAACATAAAAGTCTAATGTTGCTTTTTTTTATTAATATTAAAACTTTGATGTGTATGTTTTTTGACTACTGTAACAGTTAAAATTTGACAAAATTTCTCCTATTATATATTATTCCATTTAAAGCGTTCTTTATAATATATGATAAAAATGTTCTAATTATTAATTATGCGATTAGCCGTGGCGCAGTGTATAGAACGCTTGCTTTAGAATCAATTAGTTTGAGACTCTCAACAACCATGCAACATTTAGCAACGAAAGAGGCATAAACTTTTTAGTTAAAGACTCCTTTTCGGTGCTCCTTAATTGTAAAGACTTTTTAAAGCATTAAGTATTAAAATAATGTGTAGCACATACTTCGTTTATTTGAAATGTTTCTTTATACGTTTTATTACTATTTTTATTACTTCTTTTATTCAACATATTTTAGTTTTGAACGAACGTATTTGATTAAAAAGAAAATGTGGTTTTTGATAACTAAATTTTAAAAAAAGTACTTACAAAGCATACCAAAAGTTAAACTAAAAAGTTGAAGGAACAAGAAAAGGAATCTTAAAAAAATATCCAGGGTCATTACTAATCAACTTTAACTTGTTTAATATCTTCTATACTTTTTTATATATTAATTTTAATTATAAGCCTGCTATATATAGGTATATTATAAGTATACTTGTCATACATCATAGTTTTTCAGAGTCTGTCTAGGGGTTTTATAATATTCATGAATAAAATCTATAATGGTCGATTTGAATAGTGATAAACTGTGTGATTCCTAAATAATACATTATAGCTATAGTAACCAATTTGAATATATATAATTTTTAGTCTGTAAATACTAATTTATTTATGGTTTTTGAAACGAGTTTTTTTAAATATTTATGTTTCGTTAGACGGGTTCTTAAATGATTCTTGAATAAATAATATTTTTTAGTAAATGTTTTGTGTGCATATATATATATATATATATATATATATATATATATATATATATATATATATATATATATATATATATATATATATATATATATATATATATATATATATATATATATATATATATATATATATATATATATATATATATATATATATATATATATATATATATATATATATATATATATATATATATATATATATATATATATATATACAAATTAGTAGAAAATCACATAGCATGCATTTTTATAATATTTATTAATATTATAAAAACATTTCCATTTTTATAATATTTATTAATATTATAAAAATATTTCCAAAAAATGCATATTATGTCTACAAGAAAAATTTGAAATAATTACGCATACAAACCAAGGATGTTTATTAAACAAAAAATCGGAATTGATTTCTAAATGCAGACACGAAAATAAGTTTCTACTAAAAAACTATAAAAAAAAAGTGAGCTTAAATAATAGTTACATTAACTCCCCTTTGAAATAAATATATTATTTTTTAAGAAAGCTTAAGTAATCATTTCTAAAGAATTCTTTTTACAATAGTGTCAGTAAATTACACAAATGTATAAAAAATGGCAGTAGTTATTTTTTTTGGTGTTGTTAACTCATTGCAACACATAATTCATTTGGCTTATTTTTGTACAAATCTTTACTTTCTCTACAAATTAATATTGATGGATTACCTTTACAGAAGTCAAGTACTCAACAATTTTGGTCGATTCTAGCAAGAGTATCAATTCCATTTTCAAGTAATCCATTTTTGATTGGCTTGTTTTGCGGTCAAAGTAAATCAGTTTACTTGAATGAATATTTAAAAGATTTCATTAAAGAAATGTTAGAATTGGAAAAAGGTTCTAACAAAATTGATGTACATGGTACAAAGTACTCAATAAACATTGGTATTTCCTGCTTTGTATGTGGTATGCCTGCAAGGGCATATAAAAATAAACTAAAGGACATAGTGCATATTACAGCTGTAATAAGTGTATCCAAAAAGGAGAATGGCACATTTCTTAAAACTGATGCTTCACTTAGAACTGATCATTCTTTTAATGAAATGACAGATGCTAATCATCACATTGGAGATACTCCAAATAAAAAATTGTCTATTGGAATGGTAACTCAGTTTTCACTTGATTTTATGCACCTAGTGTGAGTAATGAAAAGGATTTTGATGTTTTTAATAAAAAGCCCTGTTAGTGATGGAATAAGATGTGTTTCACTTATTTTATCACTAACAGGGTTTTTTATTAAAAACTGCTTTTCAACGCTCTATGTATTTAGGTAAAATAGAGCGTTGGAAAGCAGTGAAATTTAGTCAATTTTTATTATACAGTGGCATTGTTGCACTAAAAGGACATCTTTCGAAATCTGTATACAACAATTTTCTTTTGTTTTTTGTTGGGATACACTGTTTAGCTAGTTCAAATCTTTATCAAAGTCATGCTGATTATGCGGAATCTATCTTACGCGCCTTTTTAAAAAATGCTGTAAAAATTTATGGTAGAGGTTTTCTTAGCTACAATGTACACAGCCTAATACACATTGCAAGTGTTATAAAAAGATTTGGATCTGTTTATAACTACTCTGGATTTCTGTTTGAAAATTTTCTAGGGTATTTAAAGCATTTAAAACATAAACCTTATTTACCACTTCAACATGTTATCCGGCGTATATCTGAAAGAAATGGATCAATTATAAGAAACTCTGATAAATTTATGAAGAAAGGGATTTACAGGAAGCTGCTTGAAAATGGTCTTATTGTTTTAAGAGCACAAACAGAGTGTCTACAGTATCAAGAAATTACTTTAAATGGAATTTTGTACTCTACTTCAAAAGGAAACATTTGCATAAAAATGAAAAATGACTTTTGTTCAATTTTGTAACATATTAAAATTTCATGGTGATAATAGGCATTTTATTGTTTATGAAAAATTTCTTACTATTGAAAATTTCTTTAGATATTGTGCAAATTCTTTCGAGTGTTTTGGTATAGTAAAGGTCTCTAAGTTATCATGTCAGTATGAATCTGCCACAACAGTTCAAACACAGAAAAAATATGTTATACTACCATGCAAATCCAAATTTGTTTGTATTTTTCTGTCTATGAAGCCTCAAATACATAAATAATAAACTGGAATTTTTTTTTCTTTTTTTGCTAAATTTTTGTATTAGCGCTCATTTGCATATCAATATTAGTATTTGGTATTACTGATTTTTATGTTTATCTTTTTATTTCAGTTATTAATATAATATTTAGTTGAATTTGAAGTTAAAGTGGCGATGGTTCCTGATTGCTGGTTATTACATGAATCAGCTACATGTTTTTGGCCTCAGGGATTTGGTGCTAAACAATGGTCAAAAATGAAAAAGTTATTAAATCCTAATCACAAAGATTGGCCTCCTTATTCTTATATAAGAATATTGAAAGTTGGAGGTATATAACTTCTCCATGGTTTTGGAAAGTTTTGATTATGTGATTGTTTCTGCAAGTTATAATTTTTCAGACTATGAAAAAATGAAAAAGGCAGAGGCTAAATCTTTGCACTACACAAATTTTTCTTCAAGTTGTTCGGAAATAAAACATGATTTAAAGAGGAAAAATTTGCAAACACAATGGTAAAGTATATCATATTTATTGTATATTTTTAAAATACAATATTCTAAATGGTTCTAAATGCAAACTAGAATTCTTAGCTTGAAATTTTATATTCGTTATTATTAACATTACAATTTTATTAACATTTTGTTTTCAATTTTAGGAGTCTTGGCATTTCAATTGAGAAAAAGGTAAAAAAATGAAAATTCGAAAATCAAGAAAAAGAAAAAATCATGCAGACAGTCAACTTCAACCAATTTCACAGATCGAACTGATAAACCTTCACCAACTAGTTCTGGCACAAACATCACATCTTCAATTTGTAAGTTTTGCATTTAAAATAATATTTTAAAATTAATATGTTGTATATTGCAAGTTTGGTATATGTGTTCAATTATATTTTCAAAAAGGTGGTCTTTTTATAATAGACCGCTTTTGAAAGTTACAAAATACTATGTTTTTTATGGTTCCTGGTGCTCTAATAAGTTAGAGTTTTTTTTTTATTTTTTATTTTGCCGTTAACGTTTACAGTTCCGAAGTCTCTCAACTTTTTTAAAAGCCCTAACACTAGAAATTATGCAAAAATAACGATTTTGTAACTTCCAAAATTCCTACGGTCATTTAGGGGTCTCTATTTACCAGAAATATAATTTATTGTTTTTGGATAGTTCCTGATTTAGTAAAACAAGCTGTGGCTGATGTTGTTCAACCATATTTTCATAATGTTATTAAACAGTTGGAGGAAAAGCGCCAAAAGCGCCAAAAGCAAGTTTCTATTAATCATAATACAAGTGGAAATTTTCCAGAAAACTTTATATTTCCATTAAAAGAAATTGATTAACTCTTACAGTTAAATAGCATTTTTCTGGAAAATACTTAATGTCGATCAAATGCAGTAAGTCTAATATTATTATTATATAATATAAAGAATATAAAAGTTTACCTTTATTTTTTAAATTAAATTAGTATATTTTTTTCTATTTCGAATTGACTTCATGTATAATAACATTTATACTTTAGTATAAACTCATTTTTGTATGCAATCGCAAATGGAAAATGTTTATTTCTTTATAGGTTATTTTTTTGTCTCTAATTAAAGGAAATGGTCTTGATGACTGTTTGAGAAAAGTTGCTAAGAAAATCTTGACAGCAAAACTCTCAATGCTCTATAACTTTACAGGAAGAAAAGGGTAAATTAGAGTTTGGTTGTCTAGTTGGGGTGAAAAATGTGTTATATGGAAGGCAAACTTATAAATAAAATTATTCTCATTATTATTTATTCTAAAACTTTTATTCTCATCATCGTCGTCATCATCATCACTATCATCATTATAAGCATCATAAATATTCTATAATAAATTTTTATAAATATACATTTGTATTATTTAACGAAATCATTATGATAGTTATAATGTAATAATGAAAGATGTAAATTCCATTTGTTTTACAATACAATAACAAAAGTTTTATTTTTGTTTATATATACTTCTTTACTTTATTTTTACAGTTTACCATGTTTTGTCAACTCGTTTTTCAGGAGGTAATGGCAGTAGTTTAATGTTGTAGTTTATTAAAGAAATCCACTAGCTGCTTTGGCCTCAGGGAATAGGTGTCACAAAATAGGCAAAATAAGAAATGCACTTATATTAAACAATAAACACTGACCTTTCTATCCATAATTATGGTTATTGAAAAGTGGAGGTAAGTAAAATGGTACCAATTCTATTATCATACTCTACCATATATGCTTACATATTTTGATTGATATGCTAAAAAAGCAAAGTGTGTAGCATTCATTTATACCTTATGATTAAAAAAAAGTTATAAATTACTTTTCAGGGTTCGAGCTCAAGCTAAGAAGAAGAACTACAAACGCCACAAACGAAGATGCATTAATCACTTCCTTCACCACTACATCTACATTTCTAATTGTACTTACATTTCGCGAAAGGTTTAGTAAACCAGATCTGAAAAGCTGATGTTAATGAGCAGTGGCAGAAAGAAGCCTGCATCGGAAAAACCATTAATGCACCTCTCTCAAATGCCTTGACTTTTCCACTCCAAGAGATATATGATCTTCTGGAAATCAACCCAATTGCAAGTTTCTGAGTAGTGATCAAGAACAGTAAGCTATTTTTTATTAATTTGTGTTTTTTTATATCTCTATTATAATAAACTAGCTGGGTTGACCCG